GTGTGGGAGCTACCTCTCAAAGTGAGGTGGCTCTTTGTGCGCAGTAAGCAAATGTCTAGCCTTTGTGGTTCATGTTCAGTTGAGTTACCATGATTTACATCCTCCTAAATGCTCTGTCGGGTTGGAGTTCAACCTTTTAGAAGAATGATTATTGTATCAGAAAGTCACGAGTTTAATTTGTCAACAATATCTCTTTAATTGAGTTTTTCATACCTACTTTTTCTAGTGCAGTTTATCACACAGAAGTGGAGTTTACTCAATTATACCTTCGTGTAGTAACTATCAGTAGTTGATTAGTAAAAAATTAATTTGTCTTAAATTAATTTAGGTTTTTTTTTTTTTTTTTAAAAGAGTGTCTTAAATCAATGTGGTATTCTTCATATGTTGTTCTATTCTTATGGTTTTGTTTGCTAGAGAACAAAATTGCTATAATCTTACCAAGTTGAGAAAATATTTGCAACCAAGATAATTAATTATTAATAATTAAGAGAGTAAACTCATATTTTGCCACACAACAATTGTTGATCTCTAGAACCTCATTGCAATTAACTATACTCCTATCAACACCCGTTTGTTTCGATCTCTATACCAAAGAAAAATAGAATTTTACCTTGAAAGGGGTGTAACATGATTCTCATATCTACTATCTGGTACGATTTATTTCTCAGATATAGTTTGTGGATTAGTTCACAAGAACGAGATTTACCAACTACACACCACCATGTAATGACTGAATTTTTCTTGTCATCCAAAAAACACTTAGTTAAAAATGAAACCCATTTTTAAATTAAGAGTTCAAAATTTATCATTTTATTGAGTCTTCATAAACCAAATTCCTTTTAATTCTTAGTAAGAATAATGTCATAACATACACACTTCAATCTACCCCATATATAACTTCCTAGCTATAATATTTGTCCCAAAAAAAAAAAAAAAAAAAAAAGATGCTTGTTTGCAGGTTGAAAGAATAGGATTCTTTATAAAGTGAAATGATTATGAATTTATAAGAATATTTTATGTTTAAACTTTTTAGAGAATGAAAATAGTTGTCCAATATCTCTAATGATAACAAAATGGGGAACAAAACATATAAAATACTACGTAAAATGAAACTTGAAAAAAAAAATTACAAATATATGATAGTGGATGAAAATTAATGTCATGACACTTTAAATTAGTATCAAGAATAATAGTGAATAAATTAAAAGGTGAATGTAAAATTAACTTCTATCGACTATCTAGATAATGGACATAAATTTCTGTCTACAAACTCACATTTTGAAGGTAGATGAAAATTAATAATTACTTTATTTTGAACACTTCTTTATTGGACACAAAGTTATGAAAGTCATATGAATTTTGACTTTTAGAAAATTCCATCTTTTAAAAATAATTTGAAAATATATACTATATATAACTCCACTTTAAGTAATTTTTAAAATATCCATTTATTGTTTTGACGTGTAAAGTGGGTAAAACACGCACGCCTAAGAACAAACATGATTACGTTTCTCCTGAAAAGATCGAAATGATACAACATTAACAAATAAAGTGGGAAAAAAATAACAGAAGAAGAAGAAAATGGAAGGTGCAGTAATTTTATTGATTGCTTTTGCTAATCACTTAATTAATCAGTCGTTATAATCAGTCCTTATATATAGTCTTGATCTAAAATGACATTATTTTAAAAAGTAGTTTTTTTTTCCACCAAACTCTACAATTATGATGCACCTATAAATTCAAAAAAAAAATTAAAAAAAAAAGTTCAAAGAAATTTATGTTGATAGAAAATAAAATTTATAGGGTGTGAAAAACTCTCTGGATCGGAGGAGAACAAGCCACTATTGACGATTGATGATAATGTAAGTGTGGACATGTGGTTAGACCATACTTTGTTTAGTTTTTAGTTTAGCCATTATTGGCATTTGATAGTGTAAGTAAACATTGCTCAAAAATTAAACCCGTGACATTCTTGTACTATAATTACACTCAACTATTCATTTCATGTGTTACAATGTAGTATTTATTTATAGCTAGACCACTAGGCTCTATTAGCTGACTTATCTTACGCGGTAAACCAACTTTGTCAGTTCATGCACGCACCAACACAGGATCACTGGGGTCTTCTCAAACGGGTTTTGAGATATGTCAAGGGCACGTTGGATCTTGGGTTACGTTTATCTTCATCACCGTCCGCTGACATCCATGCGTTCTCTGATTCAGATTGGGCCGGCTGCCCCATTGATCGAAGTCCACCAGTGGGTATGCAGTGTTTCTTGGGACTAACCTGGTTTCTTGGGTTTCTCGCAAACAGCGCACCGTGACACGTTCCTCGACGGAAGCTGAATACAAGGGGCTCGCAGATGTTTCGGCTGAGGTCACCTGTGTAATTTCTCTTCTGCGAGAACTAGACTTACATTCTGGTTCACCGGCTACACTCTGGTGTGATAACCTAGAGCCACTTATCTCTGTGTCAATCCAGTCTTCCACGCCAGGACTAAGCATGTTGAGGTGGACAATCACTTCGTCCGAGACAAGGTATCCTCTGGTGACTTTAAAGTCAATTTCGTCTCGACTAAAGATCAGCTAGCAGATATCTTCACAAAACCGCTTGCAGCACAACGGTTCGGGGAGCTCCGTGCCAAGCTCAATGTTGTTGCTGCTCAACCTTGTGCTTGAGGGGGAGTATTAGCATATATTATTATTATTGGTCAAATGTTAGTTGTGTAGACCTCTTCAGTAGCCTTCTGTATAGGAGCTATCGGCTGATAGTATATTATGTAAATCTTATCGCTTTGTCAATCAATAACAGTTTTCCTAAACTCATCGGCTCGAATCCATAACCTCTCATTTGAGAGAGCCACTTTGTGCCACTAGACCTCAATGTCATTGGCAATATTTTATGAGTTAAAACACTATAAACATGTAAGGGCATCCTCAATAGTGATAGGTTTTTTAGGAGTCTTTGCAGGTATGATTAGGAAAGAGAAAATGGGAGAGCGAAAAAAAAAAAAAAAAAAAAAAACTACTTAACAAGCCTGCCGTGTCCGTGCCCAGCGGGCACGTAACAACAACACAGACCAAAAATCATGCGAGACCCACATTTTGACCAAAAATCTCGATTTTTACTGTAAAAACCTCATTTATTTTCTTACCTCACCCACATTTCCTCAAAAACTGATCTAAAATTTATTAATGTGGAGGACCTAAGTGAAGGTAGGGCAGCCATGAATTGCGCGAATCACCGCGACACGAAACCGTTGTCACCGGAAGATTAACACCTAAGAGTGGAGGCATAAAAGTTGAATGAACTGACACTAGAAATGATTCATGTTGGGGTTTAAGTATCTAAGTATCTAACATCATTAACGTAGTTAGTCATAATTATGATACTTAATTAGGTAGAATTATCGTACTCCAAATCATGACCAACTTGACAAAAATAAAACTTCATGCACTGCTACTACTACTACCTAATATAGACTACAAGGAAAAAGAATGAAAAATAATATTTACTCCTGTTATAAAATTACCTGACATTAATATATTAACTTATTTGCTTCTATATGCATGCATATAGGTAATTGTATAAATCATTCATGATTAATAAAAGTTGGCTAACATTCTTTAATCTTTATGATCACCATTGCCCCTTAGCTACTTTTTTTTTTTTTTTTTTTTTTTTTTTTTGGAAACACCCCTTAGCTACTTTTATGTATCCCTTTTCATAAAAATAATTGTCCCTTGGGTATACAGATGTCTTTGAGGGACAAATGCCACCTGATTTGATGTAATGCAATTGGATCATAGTGGTAGTTACGTGGCCCAATACACTGTTATCAGGCCCATTTCCGATGGTGTGGCCCAATAGTCATATCTCCAATAATTATTGCGTGGTTATGTAGACCATTGCACGGTTCAAAACGACGCCGTTTCGTATAAATTGTTTTTCATGTGACTCAATATAATATATATTTTTATGACTCATAATATACATTATTCTAAAGCATAATGTATATTATTATATTTATAAAGTATAATATCTTATCCTAAAAATTTTATTATTTTAACATATAAAATACATTATTTTAATACATAAAGTACATTATTTTAACTCATAAAATTTAAGAAGAATGTTTTGTACCGTGATCCACACAATAATTTGCCTCATATCTCTTCCGTACGTGATTATTTGATGGACCACTTGCGATTTGTTGAGTGGAACTAGGCCAGCCACGTGTACAGATCTCACGTCACTTACGCCTAATTGTGACCCGCTCCATGTGGAGTATGTTTTAAGTAAAGTCTAAAAAGGAAATATTATATGTAGTCCTATTTTTTATTTCTAATTTTTACTTTTACATATAAGATCATTTTTTTTTTTTTGAAGAGTTTACACACAAAATTTTGATATAGACACTTGTATTGAGACTCACATAAAAAAAATAATTTATCAATTTTTGTCACATTAGGAAGTAAAATTTAGTGAGTAAGATTTGAGAGTTCATATACTAGAACTAGTCTAAAAATTGAGTGCTTATTGATGGGAAAAATTTAATTGCTATATCGTGGATAGGGTTCATTATACTAAGCACATATTATAAATTTTGGTTCAGATTATATATATATAGTTAACATATTATGTAACTTATCTTACTTACAATTTGGTTTTTATTTTTATGTATGTAATAATTAATAAAATACATTTATGTTCCTTTGAAAAAAAAAATACATTTATGTTGTATTATTGCTGTTGAACATAAAATATATATAAAATTAAACATGCAATCCAATTATCAGTTTAAACTTTTAATGAAAATAGAACACATGTTTTAATTTATTATCAAGCAATGCCAAAGAGACTACGGTCCACGACAAACTAGACACAAAGTTTACGCGAGATTGTTACATTTATTTAAAAATCTTTAAATTTTCAAACGATAAAAGAATCAAAGTTAAAACCGGGTCAGAATATATTCTTTACCAATAATGCCTTCACTCTGCTGTCTTCCTTTTTTATCCATTTTCTTACGTTCACGTCACTCACCGTCAATCCAAGTATCTGACCCAGATCATTTGTTGATCGGTTTTCTGGGTACCCATTCCTATTATTTTCCTTAAACTTCACGGTTTTATTTGTTCTTTCTTCGTTTGATTGACAGAAGAAGAAGAAGAGAGATGGGGAGGCTGTTTGTATCCACTCTCGAAGGAAAGATCTATAGCTGCAAGCACTGTGGAACTCATCTTGCTCTTTCTGACCACATAGTCTCCAAGGTTGGTTACTTTACTTCGTATTTTCCTTAATCTAATCAAAGATCCAGTCTTTCTGTTAAAGATGTTCCTGTCATTTCACAATTTTGGTTCTTTGGTTTGAGAATTCTGCATTTTTTTTCTGCTAAAATGTGTAGTTGTTTCTCACCAAATTAGGATTATGAATCAATGAATGGTAATTTGAGTCGATTATCTATGGGCAACCTAGGATTGTTTACTGGCTAAGAGCGGGATTTACCCGGTGCCCACCATTTGGTACTGGTTGCAGGTTTTCCTCGTCTCTTAAAATAAAAGACTTACCTTGTATAAGCTTATTCCCGGGAATGCCTTTCCATTTCAGGTGTATTTCGTGAACCAAATGTGTTGATAGTTGTTGTACTCACTTATATAAATCCCATGATGTTTTATTTGGAAACCACAACCTATGGCTTCTAGGATTTGATGTAATTAATGGTAAAAATGTGGAATTAAGTGTTTTTGAGTTCTACTTGCCACAGCATTTAATGTAATTGTCTGCATCTTTATGAATTGGGATGTTTGAATAATTGCCTGTAGAGGATAATGTGTCTGAGGCTGAGCATTGCTAAACGGGGATAGCTTTCCCGATAACAACAACAAGGAGTTTCGACTGCATTAGTCCTTTTAGAGATAAAGTTGTTCTTCGTTATCTGAACTTTAAATGCTAGTCTTTCTTGTCTGTAAGTATACAAAAGCAAGCATTTTTATGGTTGTTTATCAAGTGATTTGTGTTAAAATGTGTTCTAGCGTAGGAAGACTAACAGTTGTTAGTTTGTTATTAAATCCCGAGTTTGCAACCACTACGAGTAGGAGTCTCACAACTCACCTACTCGTTAGAATTTCTCTGACTCCGTTTTTTTTTTTTTTTTTTTTTGGGTTCTTTTCTTCAGTCTTTTTACTGCAGACACGGGAAGGCTTATCTCTTCAGTAAGGTGTAAGTCTCCTTGATTCTGCTCACTCAAAAAATAGATCAAAGATTTTCGTGAATGTGGTGACATTATAGTATAGCAGACCGCTCATGCATTGGAATGATCATATATTTTCTTGATCTTGGAAGCATAACAACATAGTTGAGTAGTCGAAAACAATCGAGCATCTTTTATTGCATTGTATTGATAGAAATCAAAAGAAAACGTTGTTTTTAACTCTTATATATGTGTTGTGGAAGCTGAAATTTAAATTGACAGAGTGAATGTCACTTCTGGCCCGAACGAAGATAGGATGATGATGACCGGTATGCACACCGTTGCAGACATTTTCTGCGTCAAATGTGGGTCGATTGTTGGCTGGAAATACGTGAGTTCAGACCGATAAAAACTGTGTTTCTTACATCAAATTCTAAACTGGTGTTTACTATATATGCAATTATATGCATAGTTGTGAGGAATGGATAGCAAATTGAAATGTCTTCCATCTCAACTAAAACCTTAAACTGACAGTGAGGCTATGTTCTTTTAGGAAATGGCTCACGAGAAGAATCAGAAGTACAAAGAAGGGAAATCGGTCCTTGAGCGGTCAGTTGATAATTCTTTTAAAAACCCCGCCGGGCTACATTCATTGCCCAACACAAGTGAATTGATTAGTTAGATTCCTTGTAATCTGGAACAGGTTTAAGGTTGCTGGCCCTGATGGAAGCAGCTACTGGACAAGCCATGAAGGAGTTGGCCCTGATTATGTCTGATCATCACCTCTTAAGATCATATATTCTATCCTCAACTGTACATTCTCAACCCACCCCCATTCTTCTCATTGAACTATTGTATCCTGGAATTGTCTATTCCCATGTTTCAAAACTCTGGATAATTGTTCATTAAATTTGCCAGAACTGTTCATATGAAGTGGGTGCATATTCTTTATGCACAAGGCCATTGGCTTTGTTGAGCATATAATGTGTAGTTCAACTATCAACTTAGGCTTTTAGTTAAGATGGAACACATGCTTCAATTTGGTATCAAAACCATGTCAGACTTTTAGTTAAGATGGAACACATGCTTCAATTTGGTGTCAAAAATCAAAATCATGTTAAAGGTCATGGGTTCGAATCTCAAAAATATGGTTAAATTGTTGCCTATTAATGCACTCGCAAAACTATTTTATTCTCTCTCCGACTCTTTCTTCCATGTGTGCAAAAGAAACCTAAAAAAAATAGATGTTGGGGTTGCTCAAGGTTAAAAAAATGAATCTTCAGTACACTAAAAATAAGTATTTATTAGTGGTCCACAATACAAGTGTACAATTTGCCCCACTGTAATGCAATAATGGAGCCATAATGAAATGACAAGTCTATTCACTTGAAAATGGAAACATTTAGAGCTCAAATGTTGGAGAAGACCATAAATTTATGAAATTGAAGTATGGGGTTACACCAGTATAAGCTAAATTGCAATGATGTAAAAATAAAATGGTGAAAACTCAACTTGTAGATGACAAGACTGTTATCAGCCCAATGAATAAACCATGTGCCCAGAGAGTTCTCTTCCCACAGCTCTCATGTATCTTTGCAATTGTGTTGTCATGTGCTGCCTTTCTCTGGGACCGAAAGCGTGTTGCACATCCTTTCAACATGCGAGATTGAAACAGATTCAGAACAAGAATACAAATAAATAGGCTCATAAGATAGTTAATGTAATGAATAAAAGAAACGCATAGAGTATGCTAATGTTAATCAAATGTACTTCGTAGTGTTTCTGGTTCAGTGTATGCATCCTCGATTGCAAATAAGGTTCAGAGGTGAAAGAATGGGGGGCATGCTAAGAGCAATTAATGTGAGTGATCAATGAATATTCACCTTGAACCTCAAACGAACTCCGGTCAACCCAATCAGAACATCCCCAACGTCTCCATCTTCCAGATCATCTGACACGTTGCCACTTGGTACTGTGTCCTCTTCATCATCAGAATCTTCGGAATCATATTCAGTCATGTCCTCATCCGCATGTACAAAGATATCATTTGAACCCCCTGGAGCGTGATCATCAGGTTGTTCCTCAACATAACTATCATGCACACTGGATGGCAATGAGCCACCATTTTGGGTGGTAAAATCAGAGAGAGCCACGTAAGGTTTTCTATCAAGCAATGGTTTCGCAATCTCAAATGGAACCCACCTAGGAAGGAAAATGATCATTATTGAGAATATTTCAAAATAGTTTACAGTAACTGAATTATTCTTAAATATCAAATATAAAGCTGCTTACGTATAACGAAGAGGGCAGAGAAGCTCGGATGGGCTGTAAGCTGCTTTATATGTCATTTTGTTGCAGGAATGGATGTAATAGCCCATATAATAGTACTGGAGACTTGGACAGTGCAATTCATTCTCTCTAACCCACCTAATTTCTTGCAGGGCCGAGTACTTTCCCAGAGATAAGAAGGCAAGATCTGGATCCCAAAATAAATATTTACTAGACAAACACTTAGGCAGTATATCTACCACACCAACTGCAACAAGCTTCCCATCAATCAAATATTGCTGATGAAAGGAACCGAAGCCACATGGAGGAACACCGTTGCCTGCTGTCGGTGGAACGTATACTAAGGGAGTATCAACCAAAAATCTCTTGTAAGAACTCTCTGAGACTTCATCCGGTGCATCATTGTGCACTCTAATTTGGTATCTACTATATAAGGAATATTCTTCAGGATCAAAACTGGACCTCTTAAGACGGATCTCAAGTTTGCGTCTTTTGACCTCAATGTGTCCTGAGCTCATCGTAGAGCCTCTTTTTTTAGTACAACTTTGTACAAGAAGGGCTTTGTCTCTTCCTGGGACATTACCAGGATTCAGCTGTTTGCCAGAAGAATAGAAATTAATGTGGCCATTGCAAGCTTTAATTGCAAAACCAGATGATACAGCCACCTGATTTAAACAGTTAGCCAGTTTTTGTGCAACATCATTTGGAGTAAGTTGAGCAGACTGCACATTTGCTGGCACACCATCCTTTGATGAGTCTCTGTGGTCCTTTTTGGATCGCCTTAAAACTGCAACAATCTGGAATGAGATGTTGCTGGTAAATAAGAGATCTTCTGCTCCTTCAACTAGTAACTTTCTTTTAGCTGGTGCAACTTCCTTAATGGAAGCTTTTGGTAACTGAACATCAGAGGAAATCTCACCGCGCTCAGCACATGTTTGAACGGCATTATCAATCTGTTCTGACAAATAACGTATAAACTGTTCAGAATGGTTGTTTTCTTCATGGTAAGTAGGCAAAGACTCCTTCGATCCAGCGATTGAACTTTCTTTGCAGGAGCTGCTGCCTAAAGTCTTGGATGTAGTCTGGGCATCCATCAACTCCTCTGGTTGTTTATTTGACAAGCCTTCCAGAAACCTAAGAGCAAACAAGCCTCATATAAGTACTTCAAACATAACTTAAAATTATTAACCTGAATTGATCATCAATTCAGGATTTTCCATTAAACCTGCATTAAAGCACATGGAAATAGATAAAGCCACAGGAACCCTTCAGAACTCAATGATATAACTTTCAGAGACAAATGAATGTGTATAAACGAATGAATTTGAAAATTAGATGAACCCATTGGGGGAATCAGTTGAAGATCCATCTAACACAAACTGCTATCTCGACAATAAGCACACTGGCTGGAGTGAGAAATCCGACTCATCACAATAATTCCATTGCTTTCTACAAATGGGCAGTTTGTGTGCACCTAATGCAGAACTGCAGATGCATATGAAGAGGAGAACCATCTTGTGCCAATGAGAGAAAAGAAATTCGAGATATACCTCTCCATCCGTTTCAATACTCGGCGTTGTTCTTTGGATGGAACGAAACCACCAGCTTTGAGGCGGATGGTATAAGATGGACAGCATGTGCTTTCCATCTCGGGCTTGTATAAAAAACATCCCGATCTTCTCCACCCTCTATCTAGAAGAGCTGTATAAAAGGAAGTACTAAATCCAAACTCCAACATAGTAGGTGAACAGTTTGACTAGGCAAAACGAATCAAATTGGAACAGTAGAAAACGAAAGGATTGGTCCATTAGCATTCCTCAACTATGTTCCATAGAAAAGACAAAATGTAGAGTATGGTAACCAACCTTGATAGTCATCCACAGTCAGACTGTTTGCCCATAGTCCTGGAAATTAGAAGCATAAGATTGCAGGATGAACATCAAAGTAAACAATTCACAACATGATCTTGGCTTGGAGCCTTGAAAGACGAACAATTCAAAAGCATAATGTCCAAATCAGCTTGTAATTTCTATTTATTTACACCATATACAGTCCAACAACACAAAAGAGCCAGCAAAGATGAAATCCCATCGAAGTTATAATCTGGATCAAAATGCATCATTGTCCAATTCAAACAAAAGTCCATGATCATGATCATACTCTTAACAAAACCACTAAACCTGACTTAAAAATCCCCAAAAACCAAACAACAACAATCAAGCAACCCACCCGATCGCAATTAAAACGAGACAGGAATCTACAGCAGAAGAAATGAAAACTACCGTGTGATATACTGGTCCGACTACCAGATTTACAGTAGCCACACGAGCTTTTGCGGCGGCCGCAATCCATAACGACGCTCTCGCCTCTATTGTTCCCGGAACCGGCGGCGACGCCGCTGTTGCTGCTGCTGGCAACACTTCTCGTCTCCTTCTTGTCCGCCATCGCGAATCTCGGTTCGTACTAGGGTTTCGTTTCGTTCCTCTCTATATGTAGACTCTCTGTACGCACGATGAATTTCTCAGTGCCGACCGATGAACACGGACAACGTAGTCGTTAAGTCGCGGTCGCACGGCGACATTAATACGCACATCGTTTTGATTACTAGTTGAAAGTTTGGAAATTTCAGATGAGAATAGATAGATCCAAAATTCACTATTTTATGGGGTCTATTAAGAATAGTGCTTTTATTTTTGTTTATTAAATATGAATTTGTATTATTAAAAAAATATATAGATATGAATTTGTATGGTTAGATGTCTGATTACACGGACTACGTGACTGATAGCAAAATAAAGTTATGAACTTATTTTTTATTGATTGATCAGTTAATATATGTCTGTCAAATATGTTTCTACAAAATTATACCTCAATTACAAAAACTCCTATCATCTTTATCTTATAATCTTGATATAGGAATTAAATTACATAATGTAATTAACAATTACATCTGGTCTTTTATACATAATGATAACAATTCTAGGTAATTATCATCACTATGTACAAATTCCACATCCAAGTATAATTCTAGATTTGTGGACATGAACATCATTGAAAAAGTATATATCATTTATCACTAATTAACAGCAAATAGTAAAAAGAAAACAAAAAAAGTCTAATATCAATTTGGGTTGGCACTGCCACACTAGCTTTTATTTATTTATTTATAAATTGTTTTATTGCCCTTTTTTATTTAGTTTATAAAATATAGAATCAATTAATTTTTAATATTAAACTAAAACATAACTGTTTTTGTTCAGATAAGCATAACCGAACTCATTTTTTTTTTGGGTTAATCGTGATTTAGTAACAAAAATCTCCAAAAAAGCATAAATAAACTTGTGATAAGGAATTGCATCATATAGTAGTAATAATAATATTGTTATCACCCACTTGTGAGTGTGGAACAAGAACTCGAAGGTGTTAACAAGTACAATAATCATTAAACACGTTACACGTTATTTACTAACATGTTAATTTTGTTTATATATTTCTCATTATAGCAAATTCTCATAACTAAAACAAATCATATTAAAAATAGACAAAAAAAAAAACTCATTATAAACAAGTTACAAATTCAACCCATTATGCTAATAGTACTAAGTATTAGTAACCATAGTCATTTGAATTTGGGAAGAACAAGTGGATCATCATAGTCTCTATTCTCTAAACCAACGAACCAAACGCTATCTGTAATGTCTCAAATTGGGCCTCCGAATTATCTTATCCCTGGATTAGAAATTTAGAATGTACTCCAAGTCTCCAACCTTTCACGACACCCTTTTAATGCAGTTAAAAAATAAAAACAGCACAGACTTAACTCAATGATTCGGTATGCAATATTTGAGAGAAGAAACTAAAATTCGAACATGAACAAATTCCTTTTGCTTTGTCCGGTAATGGTAACATTAAATATTGTTTTCAAAAAAAAAAACCTTTTGGGAGAAGAAGAGGGTTGAAAAAAAAAAATTTCCCAAAAAGCCCAATCTTTTGTCCCTGATTTCAGCATAAATTACGCAATTACCATGAGCCTTCTCTCTCCGACCTTCAAATAATCAAATCCGCCCCGCTGTTCTCTCCTTCTCTCTCGTCAAAGCTTCAGACTCTCTCTCTCTCTATCGTCAAAGTTTCTTAACAATGCCGCGTTGGTGAAGCTATGCGTTTCTCTGTCATCTATCTTCTTCTGTCGTATACGTGTCAGAAGCTTTTCTAGGTTTCGATTTTTTTTGTTTGTTTGTTTGGTTTTGTTTTGGTTCCTAAAATTGTTGCGCGGTGGACTGAGGCTTTAGGAGGTTTATGCATATGCATGCGGAGAATGCGAAACGCCGGAGCTGATTTTCGGTACGAGTGTTAGGAGTGCCGGAGCTGGATTTCCGATCTGAGGATATTGAATTTGAATTTGCGAGGGTAAACGGCGTCGTTTGAGCCGTTACACGGTTTCGCGGGGGAATCTAGGGTTTTTTTAGTGGCCTTTGGCGTTTTGATGAGGATTGGAGGGTTTGCGGGTTGTGTATGCGATGAATAGAAGTTTCCGAGCTGAAGAGTCGTTGACGAAGCAGAGAATGGGGAGTCTAAGGAGCTCGATGATTAAAGAGAAGGATGAGGAGCTTGGATTGTTCCTTGAAATGCGGAGGCGGGAGAAGGAACGGAACGATCTTCTTCTTCTTCAGAACTCGGATGAGTTTGATGCTCCACTTGGTATGGAAGATGCTCAACCTTCATTTTTTTTTTTTTTTTTGAAAGGCAACCTTCATTTTTTTTTTAATAAATATGATTTATTATTAGATTATTATGTTTTGGGTCGGCAATGCATTACAGAGCATTAATGGTTGATTGCTTGGTGAATCTCCTGTTAGATTTTGTTTGGAAATAATATAAATTGGTTGATGTAACGGGACAAGTCATATTCATTAAAGTAATGCTCAGTTTAGATGGCCATTATTGCTGCATGATTCTTTTTGTCATCTTTCTAAAATTTCTTGCTTTTTGGTGAATGCTATTTCTAAAAAAAAAAAGAGGCATTCAGTGCTTGATTTTTGCTACTGGTTTTAATTTTTATTTTTTTATTTTTATAAATTTTGCAGGATCAAACACCGGTAGTTCTCCTGTTTTCAATATTCCATCAGCTATGCCTGCCCGAAAAACTGTTGCAGATGATTTCCTCAATTCAGAGAATGATAAGAATGACTATGACTGGTGATTGGTTACTTTTTTCCTCATTATTTGCCAAACATGTGTTCACTGTGATTACTTTTTGTTGGCTTACTTAAATATTTTGTGTTAAAATTAATGTCAAATGTCATTTGTTTCTTGATTAAGTTGAAATGTATATGTCACACCTCCTATACATTCCTTGTTCAATCTCCATTTTTTACTCTGTAAATGCAATTTTTTTTTTTTTTTTGGTTATGCAATTTAAGATAACAATGAATGTAAATTTATTTAATTATTCTGCTAATGAACATGCAAGAAAAGATTCTTTTCACAGCAACTGTATTCAGGAGTAGATCTCTCCATCACATGGCTTAAACATATTTCATGAACTGAAAAATGGAATGGCATTCAGTATTTCTCTTGATAATTGCATGTTGCACAGATAATTCTTTATTTGCTTCTAGGCTCATAGGCATTATGCAACTAATGTAATAGCACTTCTGGTTATTCTTAGGTGTTGTTTGTCTGTGTTTCAGGCTTTTGACACCTCCTGGTACTCCTCTTTTTCCTTCATTGGAAACTGAATCACAAAAAAGAGTAGCAAATAAGTTGGGGACTCCAAAAGCCCGCCCAACTGCACTGAAGTCTAGGGTAAGATGTTTCATGAATTAAACATTTCTTATATAAATTTCATGGCTGAAATATTTTGTTCTAGACTATGCATTTTTTTGTATTTTTATTTTATTAGGGCAGTGAATTGCTAAAAAGGTACATTGGGCCATTGGCTGTGACTAGTTTCTAGATGAGAACACCATTGATCCATAGGATAATATATGTTTAATAATTTTAACCTATGATATCTTAAAATCTTCATTCATATTGGAGAAATTCTTTGAATTGTTGGTTAAGGTCCTTAAGGATATCACTACTTTAGTAATTCTTGAATTTGATAAATCTGAGCAACTTCATTCATATTGGAGAACTTATTTCCAAGGAATGTATAGGATAGGATAGGATATTAAATCATAGTTGCGTATTCTATTGTCCCCACCATTGCTATATTTATTGTCTTTTGCATATGAGGAATCAGCTAATTTAAGAAGTTGAAATGCCCCATTCAGATCTTTCCTAATGATGGGTGTCCTCTGAAGCTGTTATATGCTCACGTCACGGGCAACGGGGCAAGGAAACATAAGGGAAAAAAGAACGAAGAATAATAGTTGGAGAAGGAAAAGAAGAAAACACTGGGTTTGTTTGAGACACAAAACTCCCTTAGACCCCTTTTTGGGATTGAATTTCTGCTTTTTCTTTATTCTAAATAATAAATAATACTCCCTTGTATAGGGTTGATTACAAAGATCCCTAAACTAAGAATGATTAATTATTTGGTCGTTTCCAAATAATTAAACTACCTAAACTAATTCAAAAACTAAGAGTAATAAGTTAAATAACTATTTAGTGGTCTCTAAATAACTATATAGTAGTTTCTTAATATCTAAAGTCTAAACTATGTAATGTAATAGTAATGAAATAAGACTTCTTCAGTATCAAAAGCACTAAAGTTTAATGGAAGTTGCCGGGACTCTTTTTAATTGGTTTGCTTGGGATTGTTTCCTCTCTTAAATTTGTTTGAGGAGCTACATACTGATTTCGTTCTATAATTCATTTTTGTGGATGTAGCTAGCCAATCCACCTGAGCCCACTGCCAGAAGTAATTTAATGTCCAGACAGCCAGCTTCATCTCCAGGAAATACTTCAAGTTCAGGTCTTCGCAGACCCTCATCTGCAGGTGGGTCCAGACCTTCAACTCCAACTGGTCGACCCACATTGAGCACATCCAGATCTACCTCAGTAGCTAAACCAACACCAAATACAGCATCCAAAGGAATGTCTACTGCAGGAGCATCTAAAGCAACACCAACCTTAACCGCATCTAGACCATCAAGGTCTGCAACACCTACTTCTCGTGCAACACTACCTTCAACCAAGTCCACAGTTCCTCCAAGATCCTCAACACCTAATTCCAGGTCTACTGCCAGATCCTCGACACCAACTACTAGGCCATCTATTCCTGGATCAAAGTCAACTTCCAGGGCATCGACTCCAACTCGTCGGCCAGTGGCATCAACTGCAATACATACATCTGCTCCTCCTGCCAGGTCTCCATCTTCCTCCATAACCAAGTCATCTAGTACTGCAGCAAGAAATCCTGCACCACCACGTGCCAGTTCGCCAACTGTTAAACCAAGACCCTGGAACCCTTCAGATATGCCTGGCTTCTCACTAGATGCTCCACCCAATTTGAGGACTTCGATATCTGACAGGCCACCTTCAGCAACCAGGGGCAGACCTGGAGCACCTATTGCCCGTTCTTCATCTATTGAGCCTGTTGGGAACGGAAGAGTTAGAAGACAATCATGTTCTCCATCAAGAGGACGTCCTCCTAACGGTGTTCTTCATAACAGTGGAAGCTCTGTTCCTGTCCCAGCTATGAGTCGGTTACATGCTAAAGCTAATGCCAATGTGAGCCCTGTTGTGATGGGAAATAAGATGGTTGAAAGAGTGATAAATATGCGGAAGCTTGCTCCTCCTAGGCTAGACAATAAAAGCTCACCCAATAGTAATTTATCTGCCAAGTCTTCCTCACCTGACAGCACAGGTTTTGGAAGAACACTGTCGAAGAAATCTTTGGATATGGCTATAAGGCATATGGTACGCATTTCCACCACTCTAAGCAACACTTAAATTACTCCAAAGGTTTCAAAGACAGTGATTTGCTCTAACACATTCCTATTCTTAATTATATTATTTCTCAAGTAAAAAAATTATTGAAGAGTTGGGATTTCATTTATATTGCATCCATCCTCTTCACAGCTAAGTATCCTTATTTAATTCTTTTTTATTACAGGATATAAGGCGAACCATCCCAGGAAACCTACGACCATTAATGACTAATATTCCAGCATCGTCTATGTACAGTGTGAGATCCGGGCCTAGTAGAAGCAGGACGGTGAGTGTTTCTGATTCACCCCTTGCAACAAGCAGTAATGCTAGTTCTGAAGTGAGTGTTAATAACAATGCTGTGTGCATTGATGGACATGGAGGTGAGTGCGAAATTAGCAGTGATAAAGGTGCTCGATCTCCTCCCAGTGTCCATAGTAGTAGGTAATTCTGTGTTTGCCACGCTGCAGAGTAGAGTAGTATTGCTAGTTTTGAAGCAAGACGAGCGCGAGTTGAACAACCATTGTTTTTCAGGAGAAGAAAACTTTAACCCCGATGTTCATCTCGCTTGACTATGTAAAGATGCATGAACTAGGTAGGTGTTGTAGTTAGAGCTTCTGTACGATTAGAAACCCGAGTATGGTGAATCCATTTTTATGCTATATTATTGTTCACGAAGGAAATTGAACAACTGTCTTGCTTTTACTTGGGGTGGTAGCTTTAGACTTTAGTAGTACATGAAATTGCAATTTGTGAGATCAAAGTTTATTACGTCTCGGAAAATGTATTTTGCCCCAACAGGTTTTACAACACAAAACAGCAACAGGCGAAATGCAGATAGCTTATAGCTTGTAGCTGATGGCCGGCCAATCAACTGCTTCATAGTCTTTTCAGAATTATTGTTGACCACAACTGAACCCAACGAAGGCTTCTAAGTTCTATCCCATGCCAATTTAAACCCTTGAATTGCCCAAACCTCAGCTTCCAATATATTTACTCTCATTTTCTACTCCAAACTTTTATTACTATACACAAAATTTTGATGTTAGATACTTGTATTAGGATTCATATGAAAAAAAAACTAACTTTATTAATGTTCGTCACATCAGGAAGTATGATTTGAGAGGAGTTTTAGTACATGTATTTTCAAATCTTACTCTCTCGAATTTACTCCCTGATGTGGTGGACTTTGATATGTTATTTTTTTCATGTGCGTCCCTGTTAAAGTGTTACATCAATATTTTAATATTTTAAATGTGAGAGTAAAAGTTGAAAGTAGAGAATGAGACTACATACAGTAAAAACTCCGAATTAAGGATTGAGTTAATACCCAAAATGGCCCATCGACTATGCCATAATTACCAATTTGGTCCTCAACTACCATTCTTACCAAATTAAGTCCTCAACTATGTAACTTTTACTCAATTAAATCCTCAACTATACAATTCTTACCCAATTTAGTCCTCAACTATACAATTCTTACCCAATTTAATCCTCTGTATTAATTTGACTGTTTGTTGACTGTCAAAAGTCGGGATAAAATTATAATTTTACAAGATTTCTCCTTCCTCTCCATTTAGCAGCGCCAAATCATGCAGCAATACACTCTGATCAGATTTCGATCGTCAAAAAATCGTTGGAAATTAAATTCATGGGCTATCCGATGCATAACCACTACTTCGATACTGACAGGTTTAGAACCCAACCGGAGCTTATTGCTACATGGTTTGGCGCTGCTAAATGAGGAGGAAGGAGAAAACTTGTAAAATTACAACTTTATTTCCACTTTTGACAGTCAACAAACAGTCAAATTGACAAAGGACTTAATTGGATAAAATTGTATAGTTGAGGACTTAATTGGGTAAGAATGATAGTCGAGGACCAAATTGGTAATTACGACATAGTCGAGGGACTATTTTGGGTATTAACTCTTAAGGATTCATCTCGAGATTTTTTACTTTTTTATTAACAAAAACAATAATAATAATAATAATAATTAATTTCCTTTTTTATTTTTTATAAAAGGACTATAATAAATTAACAAAAACAATGTGGCACGACTCCCATATGGGAGGTTGTGTGTTTGAAGTTCAGTGGAGGTGGTATTGATTCTTTGTGCTTCAGTAGTTTGAGAAAGTAGTTATGAACAAATACTACATTGTAGTAGCGTTATAACATTCAAAAAAAAAAAAAAAAACAAAAACAAAAACAATTAATACGTGTCTTCTCATTCTCAAGAATATCTGAATATGTACAGAAATTCGTACCAAAACTAGAAAACCAAAATAATTGTGGGAAGGAAAATAATAATCCAAATACGCTCCCTACGCGGACCATCGCTGTCTGTCATCTATCTTCTTGTTGATCTTTTTTTTTTATTTTTATTTTTTATTTTTTGGTTCTCTGGGAATTGCTGTGTCAGATTCCATTGAAGGGCCGTCATGGCGAGCCTGTGGCAAGCGGTGATGGGCTCCGGGCAGTCGTCGGCGTCGAGCGAGGACTACGACGGGGTGCAGTTCTGGTCGAGCCCTGAGCGGACCGGGTGGCTGACGAAGCAGGGCGAGTACATCAAGACGTGGCGGCGCCGCTGGTTTGTGCTCAAGCAAGGGAAGCTCTTCTGGTTCAAGGAGTCCAACGTCACCCGCGGATCGCGCCCCCGCGGCGTCATCCCCGTCGCCACTTGCCTCACAGTGAAGGGCGCCGAGGACGTGCTGAACAAGCAGTTCGCCTTCGAGCTCTCCACCCGCGCCGACACCATGTACTTCATCGCCGATTCCGAGAAGGAGAAGGAGGACTGGATCAATTCCATCGGACGATCCATAGTTCAGCACTCCAGGTCAGTTACTGATAACGAGATCCTCGATTACGATAGCCGCAAATAAATTCAATTTTTGTTTTTCAAAATCCTGTTTGTTTACCTAATCGCGCTTCTTCCTTCATCTTTGTTTATTTTATTTGGAGATTGGAATTGCTTCTCTTCTTTTGCTTCTATGTGTATTTATGATTTGCTATGGAAGTTGTAAGTATCGGATTGAAACATGAAATACTATTTGTGGTGAATGAAGTATACTTTACTGTTTGCCCCTGTTCAATTCAAGTTTTGCCTTCTGTAGATATTTCTTCAATTAGGACTATAATTGAAGAAATTTAACCATTGTAGAAGGTGAAAAGATATCACCTCCAATTATTCATATCTTCACTGTATAGCATCAGTGTTTCAGGTTCTTTTAGTGCCTTGCTAATTTGGATTGGATTGGATTGGATTAACTTCTGTAAAAGCTCAAACTTTAGGATCCTTTCTTGAGTTCGGTTGTAGTGTTACTTGTTGAACATCTCGATTAATTAGTGGGACATGAAGAAGTTTAGGATTTTGATCTGTGTTGGGACAAAAAACTTCAAACTCGCATGAAAAGCTGGGGTTCTTCTGGTGTGTTTACTAATGAATCCATAGCTCAATTCCAGTTTGAGATGTTTCTTCATCCTTGTGTTGCAAATTTACGGTGTCTTCCATGGATGCCATCGTCTATAAGCAATTCTTATTACCAAATTGTTGAGGATTGTATTTGTGATTGAGTCCATTGAATCTGGATCTGGAAGCACTGTATTGGATAATCATTGGGGAGCCCTTAAACCATTAAGGCACATCTCACAATTTATCTCATTTGCATGCCCCAGGACATGAATAGAGGGCATTCTCGGGATTAGGGTGCAATGGCCTGATTGAATTTTCTGTGTTGCTTGCCACTACTGTTTCTGAGCTTAATGGGTTAATCAGATTGTGGTCCTGGTAGCCTGGGAGGATTAACCTTTCCTGATAGTATGGAATCTTTATTAGAAATGACAATTTTGCCGTCCCACCTTACTCTTTGAGTTTATTGTACATTTTATACTTTATATTGCTAATTTGGTATTGACTGGAAATAAACAAAGGAGAGAAAAGAAGAGAGAGAAGGGAAAAAGAATAAGAAATTGTTGCAGGACACACAGCCAGCAAGAAAACAATATAAAAACTTATGTTGGTGTCTTGTTACAGTCAGTTCAATATAAAAACAGAGTTTGCTTTTCCTGGAGGGTTTTGTGTATTGCATAGCTAGATAGGAACTCCTGGGATGGGCATCCTATTGCCCAAGGATCGACATCGGTATCAAGCAATCTGGGGTTTCGTGTATTGTAGAGCATCTCCAATAGTTGTAGTTTTTGAGGATTTTTTTGCAGGTGTGACTAGGAAAGAGAAGATAGAGGGAGGGAAAATAAGGAAAAACAAAATTAAAAAGAAAAAAAAAAAGTAAATATCTGGGCGCGAGATTTGCGCCTCATGCGATTAAGCACGGCTTTTCTTCTTTCTTGGTGGGGCCCGAAAATTTGACAAAAACCAACTTTTTTCAGATGAGTTTTCACTTATTCTCATTTCTCGACATAAGCTTGGCTTTCTCAAAAACCTCATCAAAAACCATTGATGGAGATGCTCTTAAAGATTACTCTAATTCTGTGGGCCTACTTGCCTTTTTCATAGAGAGCCTTAGTGGAGAAGACTCGTGAGATGTACCTTAACGGGCTACAACTCTACAAGCTTGTACACTAGTGCTCACAACAAGGTCAAATCTATACATCTCTCCTATCCTATACTCTACCGTTGTTAGTGAAGTAGAACTCTTAATTTTGTTTGGATTGGAACCAATTGAGCTATGATGCTTCAGAAACTGTGTATTACCTTCACTATCCAAAGCACACTCTTATGTGCCAAACCAATGTTTTGAAATGATCATCCCTATTCCATAGAACTATTGCCTTTGGCAAGAAGTGATGGTTTCCTTGCTCCTAGAAATGATACTCTTGCCATAGAAGTACAAGGAAACCGACTTTCTTGATTGTTGTTTAAACATCATATTCTCTTTTGATGAATAAGGTTTGCATCTGAATAATTTTTGAACACAACCAAAAACATAATGAATACTGGCTCTCTAGGACTATAACCTGTTGCCATCTTAACGATTAACCCATTCACATCAGAGGATTAAAAAGCTAACTTTGATATAACAATTTAATAATTTATACGATGAAAACTTTATTATAATTTAGATAATATGTTACATTTTTGAATGCTATACGAATAAGTCGAAATCTAACCTATCGAAATTGACCCACACGAAAGTGTAAAAGATGAGGGTGCTTCCTTCCCTTTTTTTGGTTATTGAAGGGGAAACTCCTATCCAATCCCGGAGATTGGATTGTATATTCTCGAGATATCACTTTGTAACATCCTTAGGTAGCGAATAAACAACCTAAATTGTCACTTCCAATGAGGACATTGGTGGTGCCTTTTGCAGTTGTTTCCGCAGTGGATGGTATATATGAACCGCTGGTGGAGGCTGCGGTTTACGTTTTGTCTTTACAAAAGCGGACTCTGCCAAGTCAATGGCGCGACTGAGACCGGCGACTTTGTTTTCACACTCTTTCTGCTCACTGTCGGGATTGCTGTCAGCTACTATGCCAGCGCCGGATTGGAGATGGGCGATCCATTCCTTACGCCTGCTGGACAATGTATCGTTCATGCCATCGTTGAGGAAGACGATGGTTCTGAGAGCCAAAGCAATGTCCATATCTCCGACAAATGAAATGCCTCCAAATCCACCGCTATAAGGTCCCCGTCTTGTTGCTTCTAGTTGATCGATCAGTTCCATGGCTTTCACCTGTATCAATTGGTATAGGAAAATGAATCTCTAAGCGTCTTAACAATGAAGAGAAATGCATAAGTCTGGAAAAGGGAAAGAGAGGGGAAGTTGAAACCTTTGGTGCTCCGCTAACTGTCCCAACAGGCAATGCAGCGCGTAGTGCATCCCAGCAAGTCAAATGATCAAGCAGCTCCCCAGTAACCTGCATAAAATTTTCCCACATATTAAGTAAAATACGAAATTCTGTATGTATAATAACTCTATAAGCTTCTTTATGATTAGGGATGAACTTGTGCTTACTGTTGAGCTGATGTGCATTACGTGAGAATATCGCTCGATATTCATGAGCCTTTCAACATTAACCGAACCAGATTTTGACACCTACATGAATTGCAGCAAAGTTAGTCTTCTAGTATAAACAAATGCTCAGTTTTATGTCTTCACAATTTTACTATTCAGTTATGCACCCACTAAAAGAGAAAGCCATAAAGAAATCTTCATCTCTTTATAATGGAAATGGAAGCAAACCTTTCCAACATCATTTCGCCCTAGATCAACAAGCATGGTGTGCTCTGCGCGTTCTTTTTCATCATTTAGCAGTAGCATTTCCAACATTACATCCTCCTCAGGAGTCTTCCCTCTTTTAGCTGTTCCAGCTAGTGGCCGATTGACAACTCTATTCTGTTAAAAACAGTAAATTTTGGCCATTAAGTTTTGATGATGGTTCCAATAAGAGGAGATTGAACACTTAGAATCGGTATAAATTAATCTAACCTTCTTTACACGGGTTAGAATTTCGGGGCTTGAAGCAACCAAAATGCACCCTCTAGCCTGATAAAATAGGAGAGTATAAATTAACATGTTCATATCAAGTATTAAGATAAGAAAAAAGTTAGTGTATCAGGGAAAAGAAAAAACAAACCTGCATGTAGGTCATGTATGGGCTTGGATTCACAATTCTTAATGCCCTATACACCTCAAATGGGTCAGCAGTTGTTCTTCTTTCAAAGCGTTGACTGAGAACAATTTGAAAAATGTCCCCAGCAAGAATATGCTCCTTAGCCTTAAGAACAGCGTTCTTGTACTCCCCACTTGTCATGTTACCTTTGGCTAGTGAAGGTCCAAATTCACGAGTGTTGAAATCCACAGAAGCCGAAGAGAGTCTTGGGCTGAAAAAGTGAACAACAAACAGAGAAGTGGTATAGTAAGTGATCTTTCCTAACAAATAAATTAGAAAAACCTTACATAACAGACAAATACTTACGGATCAACATCTTGTACTTTGGACACTAGTGCTTCTAGTTGTTTCTTTCCCTCACGGTAAGCCTTTGAGGCAGATGAGTAACTATCCAACCTTACCCAATGAATAATGAACGCTTTCTACAATTTCACCATTATATAAATTAAATCAGAGCCAGTATCTTAAAAGAGAAAATGACCATGATGATAAACTTTTCATATAAATGATTAGAAAATAGTCAAAATACTTTATACTTGTATACCTTATCCACATGGTCAAACACAATCACATTATCATAAAGTCCCAAGTGAATGTCTGGAAGGTTCCTGTCATCTTGGGGTGCACTTGCAAATGGCAACTTCTTCTTTTCCACATACCGAACTGTGTCATATGAAAAGTAACCAACCCATCCACCTGTTTATTGTCAAAATATGTCAGTAATTTCATATTTATGATGCAAGCATAAGTTGTATACATTATCCTCCAATCAGCTTCATATAAATTCTTCAGAAATTTTACACTCCCTTGAACTCTCAAATTCTACTTCCTCATCCAATTTTTTTATATAGACATTTTTTAAAATAAAAAACCCACAGGGTAAAGATAATTTACATTATATTGTTGGCCTGGCTACATCAGAAAGTAAAAGTGAGGGAGTAGAGATGAGGAGTCAATGTAATAGATATAGTAATTCTAGAATGCATCTTATAGAATTGCTTCTCAAACACTGTATGTTAACAGTTAATAAACATTTCACATGCAACCAGTGATGTTGAACCTTCTGTACAGGCTGTTCTACATTGACCAACTACCATAGAGAACAACTTTTTGTGAGCCTTAAATGATTCTAATTTCTATAGCAACAAAGACTTAAGATACCATCATTAAATGAACATATAGAAAAGCTGCAAATGTTAGATAAGTTATTTATGTTGAACTTCCAAGTAAAAGCTGGATGAGTACTACAGCAACTGATTCAACAGCCACACATTGTATGGCCATTTTGGTAGTTGGCCAACTAATTCACTGTGCATTTAGTTTGAGAAAAGGCTGGTTTCCAGAGGGGAGACCAGTACAGCTCATTAAGAGGTGCAATTCCCCCGGAGATGAATAAAGTAGAAATTGAAAATCTTACCGCAAAAAGCATCAGGAAGGTCAGCAGTCAGTTGTGGCTTCCATT